CTCTGTAATGTTGATCTCGGGTTTCGTTCGGCTCTAGACTGGCCTACCCTAACTCGTCAGGAACAAATGGATCTGAGGAGGGCTTTACGAGTAGATATTAGGTTTGTCAATGGATTTCAGAGATATGCGAGTGCCTGCTTAGTTGGGGGATACATTCAATGCACCATCGGATGCTTCGAAGAGACCCGATCCACATTTAGTGTATTTTAACCGAAAATGTCGGCTACGCAGTCTCGCTACACAAACCGCATTCTGAGCTGAGTGGAGGGAAAACTTGGCTAATCCGTCGAGTTATTGTGCATTGGAACTTGTTTCCAGAAAATGTCATCGAAGAACAAATGTTTCAGGATTTTGAGCGTCAATTGGGTTTTCGTGAGATAACTCAAAAACTTTTTATTGTCCTGACAAAAGTCAATCTTTATACTTCGGTTCTTTTCCGTACTTTCCTCCGTGCATCAGTATTACCTTTTATCTAAAAGACAGTCCTCGTCTTAACCTTTGATTTTTCTTCATATATCTTGCTTATTTCAAGTGACTGGCATAGTAGACTGCTAGTGCATGATGTGTGCAACAGTTAGTCGATCAGAAGGTGGTTCGGATGTTTCGTTTCAGGAGTGGGACGATCTCAGAACATAACAAATCCAGCTCAACAGTCCGTTCAAGTAGGCAAACGCGCGGAATTCCCCTAGAATTCTAGTCTAACTGTAACATGAAATTGATCTTCGGTGAGGGTGGCACGGTTAAGGAAGCTGAATTAACGTAAAGATTTGGTTGACGTAACCTCAGCTTGGGGGGGGGGGGAAGCCAGAATATTTCTCGTAAAAAGGCATCGAGCGACTGATAGCTTGCGAAACAAAGTACACGAAGGTTCTTGGAGGCGAATGAAGTGAAGTCTGAAGTGTGTCATATACCAAGTCAAGTCAAAAACTGTGAACCGAGGTCCCAATAAAGGTTGAGAATCGCAACCTAACCACACAGCGTGTTCCCTAAATCCTACTTTGAATTGCTTTCCGCTGTGCCAAGGGTTGCTCGCGGATCTCAGTAGCATAGTGTTCAGGGAGTCAGCCATGAACTACTAGGCTCTGAGTTCCACCCCTGCACAGGCTACCTCCACCTGACAAGTCTAAAACAAGACGAAACCACGATCGTGGTGTGCCAGTGTTGGGAGGAGCAACACCCAAATATTTCCATTCCAGATACGGTCCTTGCGATCGGAATGACCAAGGTTTATCTCAAAGTGAACCGAGGTCTCAATAGAGGTTGCATGTCACAACCCAACCACACGGAGGGTTCCCCAAATTCCACTTTGAACTGCTTTATACAGCTTTGGAGGATGAATATTCAGCTACAACACACACTGTCTCGTGAATTTACTAGAATATAAACAAGTACAGAAGGGTACCACAGATCAGTTTGATAAAGAAGGGACAGAATCGCCAAGATACTGCGAATCGGCTGGTTAAGTCTGGAACGATAGAACTGGGGTCTCGCAGGAAACGCGAAAGATAAGCGATAATCGAAGAGCGGTAGGCCTGTGTGCGAGAATAAATCAGCTTGTACTTCTGCCAAATAGACGAAGCTGACAGACATTCAGATAAAGCGATGTGAAGCGGATGACTAATATCTTAGATGCCAGTTTCTTACAAGAATTGGTGTGTAGAAAAAAAGTACGCTGACAAAAGTAGGCATGGGAATGCCGCTATATCGGGATAAGTGCTGTAAAGACCGGACAATTAATGATTTCAGAAGGTTGTGAATACAAATCGGTTTTGGTAGGGTTTTATTATGGCAACGTTTCGCCATTGACAAAAGAGCTTCTTCAGGACAGGTGAATCGGTAAACAATTGGCTTAGCTTTTTTATAGGAACGTAAGGTGAAGGTTGCAAGAAGGAGCATGAACCATTGGATAATAGTGTTACAAATCAATAAGTCAAGGGGCCATGCTAGTGACAATTAACTTAAAGTGCTTACCCAGAAGACTAGGGGAAATCACAGCGGAGCAGTATTTCCAGTGGGGATAAACACAGGCACTGACAAATCGAAGGATCAACTCAGGAGGGACGACAGGCGCAGAAAGACAACCTGCGAACTTTTGTGAAAGTTTCATTTACATGAGGAGTCCAAGCTAAATCATAGTTCCCTACCACACCTAGGTATTTCACTGATGTGGCAGAGTGTAATCCATCGTCCTCAATAAACAGCTTGGGACGCTGTGTAAGGAGATGCGAGTACCTTGCTCCTTTGTGCAGCGAAAAAATAGCATGGCACTTTGGTGTATTAGAAGACAGGTTACGAGCTTTGGACCAAATAATGAGGCCATTCAGATGTTCTTGCAGCCTGAGTGAGGAATCGGCAGTTTGATGATTAATGTACAGGACAATGTCATCAGCATATTTTGGTAAGATCGCTTCTGTGGGGACTGTCATTTAGCTGACGTAAGTAGAAAAGGCGACAGAATTGCTCCCTGAAGAACACCGGAGTTGGTGATTAGTGGAGAGGAGCATCTGCCACTGAGTCAGGGAGAGTGCGTTTAGTAAAATAATCGCTTAGCAAATGGACAATGGATGTATTCCTTGAATGAGTAGATCTTTTAGCAGCAATTCGCGGTTTACGCAGCCGAATGCATTGCCATAATCAAGGAAGCGTATACAAGTTGATTTATTTCTGTTGGAAAACGACGACTGTACAGTATGCAAGAGGCAGACCCCTTCAGCTAGAGTAGAGCTTGAATTGCGATAACTGAATTGAAGGGGGTCAATTGAGCAAGTTTGGGACAGCATCATTTCAAGAATGATTTTCCCAAGAATCATCAAAGCAACAGAAGTGCAAGCGGTAGGTCGTTACTTATTGTATCCTTTTTTTGGCACTGGTGTGATATTGACACTTAGCCAGCAGTCAGGGATTTTGCGTTGCTGCATACACATTGTGCATACAGACACAAGAGACATGGTCAAAAGTTTAGCACATACGTTGAATACGATAGGAGATAACTTATCCGGACCGCTGGTTTTACCGGAACGTAGACGTTTCCAGCAAAATTTTCACAACTACACTGACGATGGGAGGCTAAGAGTTCACAGACCCCAGAAATGGGGAACAGTAAAGCTCTGGGGCTATTGGAGCATCGCAGTTGCAAAACACCTTGTTCAATTCCTCTCGCATTAAAACAGGGTGCATGTCGAGCAAATCCACTAAGCTGTTTAAGCATTCTCCATAGCTCGGACAGCTGCCGTTTTCAATAATAGACTGGATATACACTTAGTTAAGTCGGCGTAGCTCCTCCTTGATAAGAAAAGTAAGAGACCTTACTGAGATGCCGTCTTTTTCTTTATATGTCTTCTCCTTAAGTTGGTGCAGTCGCTTCAGATGGGTGGAGGAGAACCTGTCAGCGCGGACGTTGAGAGTTCCCGAAGAGCAGCAGATGTCAAAACATTATGTAACTAGTCAAATTGTCGCAATACTTGGACACATCAGGGTTAAAGAATAAACTAAATTCTGTAGATCTAACCACTCCACGAAGTCGGTCGATGTTTTGTATAGAGCACTGCCTCCACCTGATCTTTCGATCACTGCAGCGAGTGATATCCTGAAAGTTTATTTTGCTGTAGATGATGGAAGAAATTTTGATTGTTGTATGAGCAAAACTGCCAATTGGAGCCCGATTAAATACAGAGAACCATTTTGTATTACTAACGAATACCATATCCATGGTTGCGTCTAATCCGGTGAATAAATTTCCGATAATCCCTAATCCAAGAGTGGTGAGAAAAGTGGTCTCAAATATGCTGAAAGCTCCGGCGAAGATACGTAAAGAATGGTCGATGTGTTCCATGAAGGCTGCCGCAAATTCGTCGTAAAAACCTCTGCTTCAAGCTAAGGACAGCTGGGAGATATATAGATGTTTGGCAACAATAGTGAGTGGTAGCCACTCAAACACCTCGACTTGCATTGTAGGACTAAGCAGTTAATGAATTGTGAAGAGGCACAAACGATGCGTTCTGTGGCAATTCACTAAGATTGATTAGTGTAAATAAGGACTTCACCACCGCTGTTTCGGTACATGCATGCGCAGTCAGCCCGATGCCAAATGAATTCTCCAAGCGATACGACAGTACTAGCCACTTCTTCGTGGAGTCAGATTTATTGCGACATAAGGATGCCTAGCTGCTTAAATTCTTTGGTAGAGACTGTACTCAGTACTTCATTTAATTTTCCAGCGAAAGAACGGATCTTGGCGCTAAGCAATACAGGCACGCTCAGATCTCCGATATTTTTTCTTCCGAAGAGCGACCCCCATCCAGCACGATGTGTTCGTACAGAATTGATACAACTCTCGAAAATTCTTTTCAATTTGTTTTTTATAGCACGGCCGTTGGAAAACGCCAAATTCACATGCGTAGAAACACAACGATTTCAAAATATCGAGAGAGTAGATTAACATCGTAGAGGTAATGAATAAAAATAAGAACGTTTTCAGTCAATGTAACAACTGGGAAGGTGTGTTGAAAAGTTCCACAGACAGGAATCGTAGAGCATGGCCAAATTTGAAGGCTCCTCCATGTTCCTTAATTTAAGCCTTCAGATAACCTTTAGACAATCATGATTAAGTCTCAGCAATAAAAGTATATTATGGGGCTAAGGAAATAAGTAGAAATCACGGTTTATTGATAAAAGGACGAAAATCTCGATCCACGCAAAAAACAAGTATTCCAAAAGTGTTAGGTCACCAAATATGATCATGCCTAGCGAGGCGTGCCTCGAACCTTTACAGAATAAATCTTTATTCCTTTATTTAAATAAGAATCTCATTGGTGAACATAAAGCAACGAGATAAACCGAAGATTAGTTCTTTAAAGTCAAAAAAGTTCGCAACATAGACGCAACATGTTTTGAATGGAGTGCAGAGAGCAAAACAATCGGATAAAGTTTCTAGGGCAAATTAGATGCGAATAAGTATTACACGAATAGTAATTACAACACCGGACTCGAATCAATAGGCACCTGAAACGCATGTCGGAACTATCCAAACACGTAAACCCCGTAGATATACGTCACTCCGATGCATGAGATTCGGCAGCAAGGAAGAAAAGCATCAGCCGGTATGCAGGACCAACGCTTTGCTGCTGTGCAACTGTCACAGGTCGCACGTGGGCTAAGGATACTGCAATGGTCGCCCGATCCCCTACGCAGGCTCGAACCCGCGCACTCGGATTACAAGACAGGCTTGTGATCCTTAAGGCAATGAAAGGACATGAGATTTAGCAATCTTTAGCTGAACTAAACATGCCCATAGACAAGTGAATGTCAGCGACCTCTGCCTTCTAAGGTTTCAAAAAATTAAACCAAAGTTAAAGACCTACTAGTCGCTTCAGATAAGTTCGATGGTAACGTAATAGTACTCGATGACCGTCACCAAACACCGCTGGCTTTCTTATAGCTGCGGCGACCCGCTTCTCGAAGAGCTTCCGTTCCTTTGATGAGTGTTCCTGCATTAAGCGTAACTTCTCGACACACGCCTAGGAAGCAATCAGAGTTGGGCACTGAAAGTTTATACAAACCAAGTATTCGTCTAGTAGATCGTCACAGGTCTCTGCAAACTGCTTGATGTCTTTCCGCAGTTCCACTTGTTCGTACTGAGCAATGAAGCACTTCTGTGCGCTGGAGAGCCGAACAAGTTTGTTTTGTGAAGGAACTGTGTCAGTAATCACCGTATGAATTTTGGAACGCATTCGGGCTTCAGAAATGAATGAGTCAGTGGAACCTGGAAGGGGTAGGTTATTCTCAAGAGGATAAGTTCACGTGCCTCTATCAAGGCGAGAGCAGGAAGAAACACCAACTTTACAAAGATACCTCTCAAGCATGAAATTTTCCACATTAAGTTTTTTACAATCCTCGAGCAAACGACTTGAAAGTAAAAATAAACAAGGTTACCGTAAGTTCGCGGAACTTCGCGGAACCTTGTTCCGATTGGTAGCAGACTTATATATGTTGATTTGCTGCAATTTGCTATGCCGGTTGTCCAGAGTAGTAAGCACTTTCTCTTTCATTGCGCTGTTTGAGTTCTTCAGTGTCCAAATAGACGGTCGTAATAGACCTTTCGAGCTACAAGACAAAACAGATACCTCGTAGGCGGCTGTATTCTCATACCACAACCTGTTAGTAAAAGCGAGCTAAAGAGGACAAGGAAGGAAGGAAATACAATTTCAATCTGGGACTGGAACAGCAGGTTTAATTCCCGTGAGTGTTCTTTCCGGAGCGCGTCGTTGATCCAGGTTATTATTCGGCCGTGATAACTGTGTAGCGACCTGGAGATTTCCCCGTATGACTGTGTAAATTATTTTAAAATATTCAAATTATAGCTTTCTTATGTATTAGGGAACTATTCGTTTGCCTGCTGGAACGTTGTTCCCGTTTGTTGCCCTCATCTGTGACAGCTCACAAACGTGCCAAGCGACACTGGACAGATTAGCACTAGCTGTCCGTCACTTCGGGCTTTGCTTTGCACCATCGAAGTGCAGAGTGTTCCTCCAAGATTGGTCTGGACCGCCTCCTACGCTGACCCTTGGTGGGGATCAGCTAGAAGTCGTTCAAAAATTTAACTACCTGGGAAGTTGTATCAGCGCCCGTGGGATTGAAGATGAAATCACGAATCGTATAGCAAAAGCTCGGGGCGCTTTTGCTAACCTTCGCCACTTATGGCGCCGGCGCGTCATCACTCTTGCCCTGAAGGGTAGAGTGTACAATGCAGCAGTACGTTCGACCCTATTGTACGGTTGTGAAACCTGGCCCCTTAAAGCAGCGGACCTGAAGAGGCTAGTTACGTTCGACCACCGGTGCCTTCGTAATTTAGCTCACATTTAGTGGGAACACCGCGTGAGCAACGAGCGTGTTCGACGCCTTGTTTATGGCACAGGAAAAGGAAATGAATCGCTCAGCACCGTTATTTCACGCATCAGGCTCCGATGGCTCGGCTACGTGTTACGCATGCCAGCCCACCGACTCCCGCGACGTGTGTTGTTTGCGCGCCGGGGGTGTGGATGGAAGAGGAGGAGGGGTGGCCAAGCGATGACTTGGTTCAGAGGAATGAAGGCCCTCACTTCTGAACTAGCCTCGGTTGGAGCGTCTCGGCTCCCTGGTTGGGGTCCGAAAGACGATGAACACGTTTGGTTGGACACACTTGCTGATATGGCTAGGAGCCGACCTCAGTAGCGTTCGTGCTGTGAATTTCTTTGTCCCACCCCATCCCTCTTAGCCTCCCCCTCCAACCACGATCTCATTATTTAGCCTTATATAATATTGCGTAGTACTTTTTTTTGGTGCACAGCAGCCGGCTGGTAGCTTACCGGAACGATGCCCATCCGTTATCGGTAGCTCGGCCAGCTTGCACCAGTTGCATTTTTTCCTGCTTTTTTCTATGTATTGCGGCACAGTAGCTGAGGTGTTTCCCACCTCTGACTAACGTGTATGATGATGATGATGATTTGTTGGAAACACGAAAACGATCTCCGCCTTTGGCGCGCGACTCGACTGCGAACGACGCTCTGTCAACGCACTCGACGCCAACGACATTCTCCCTAGCTAGCTCTCTCTCTGGGTGCCCTATTTTTAGCATTAGCTAACGCTCCTCCTGTCCAATAAACTTCTTCCCTAGCTTACTCTTGTGTCTTCTACCCACTGCTTTTGGTTGGCCGTCTAGTCGCGTACCGGATATATAGTGCACGATCAACGCGCTATAATTGGGGTCACGTCGGGGTCCCGTCAAGTGCGTTGACAGAGCGTCGTTCGCAGTCAAGTCGCGCGCCAAAGGCGGAGATCGTTTCTGTGTTTCCAACAAACGGGAACAACGTTCCAACACTCAAAGGAATAGTTACCTAACACATAAGAAAGCTATAAGCTGAATATTTTAGAATAGTTTACACAGTCATACGGGGAAATCTCCAGGTCGATACAACTGTAATCTAAAAGAGTAAGATCAGCACGCGCGAATCACATCACGGTCAACCAAGTAATAGGCAGTCCCCGCCGCACCGGTCGCGCGAGATAAAAGAAAGTGATAAGAAGGAAAAAGAAATAAAGATGTAATAATGTAGTAAGGAGAATAAGCTGATATGAAGGAAAAGTTTGGAACTGAAGGCCAAGTCGGTATTCAAACTAGTTCATTGTTAGTGACAACACCATGTTCTCTGGCAGCGCAGTAAATGAATCTCCTACTCTGTGTGCTGACCGAAAGTCAGGCCGGACTCCATCAAACCGATGCATGTGTGACTTCAGCCAGTGGCCTCGGAGAGATGGTAGCCGAGCTGGTTGGAAAAGGCAAGAGAAATCAGGCCCGATTTTCCCGGACAACAAGCGATAGGTCAGGATCAAGTACCCTGGTGGCGACGATGGTGCATTGAATACATTTCCAGCTTAAGTAATCTTTCTGAATATGAAACGTTCCGTAGCCCTTGAAACATCTTGTTTCTGACCCTCAACACACGCTCTACCGACATCCTGTCTGACTAAGCAAAATGGACAAGTCTTGATACAACATTGCAAGCGCGGCCTAACGAAGGCTAAGTATAATATAACAAACATATCTCCAGTGATGATTCCGTATGACCTGCAGATCATCCACAGCATTCTAAAACCTTTGCACGTGGTTTTCCTCCAGTTCTCACTGGACTTGAAATTCTGATGACAGCATGTCTCCTGGGGACACCAGTTGGGAAGTGTTCTGTAGTACATTTCCGCCATGCAGGGAACGCGGCTGCGGGCAATTTGGCCCGATTTTTAATCCTGGATCCTTGCTATAATTTACGGGCATTTGCGATAGAGCGGCCCCGTCCATGAGTTTATCATGAGTCAATTTCAAAAGCTGAGGACCATTGAGTTACGACAGTGGGTACAAATAAGTCATCTGCAAACATGACACCGTAATCATAGCAGTCTGGGCAGCTCAGTTACTTAAGAGAAAAGAAAACGGGTCCAAGCACCGAGTAACTGGGCCACACAGTTCGCTAGACAGTTTGTACAAAGATTTGGGTGGTTATCATTCATTCCAGCGAACTTAGTGGGACGCACCTCCTTGAGAAGATGGAGAACCAGTGCCTCTGAAATTGGGACGTCAGTTAAATGAGTCCTGTGAGACCTTCGTCGCTAAGTCAACAAGCGGTAACTGCTCCTCCTCGGCATATCGCGCCATGAGTAGACAGGCGTTTCCGTGATCAGTGTTGGCAGTAGCGCTGTCACTGCCAAATCACACTGGGATAAATGAACCAACGTCCCTACGCCCATTACACAGGAAAAGAATCTTTTGGGGTTTGCTGATGCCGATTCAGACAATTTTATTCCGTAGCGAAGTCCAGCAGCTCGTAGTCGACTCTAACTGCCAGCTCGTAGCCTTTGGGATCAGAAGCTCGCCTTGTAATGTGAGGGCGCAGGTTCGAACCGGCGTAGGGACCGAGCGACCTTCGAAGGACCATTAGCCCACGTGTGACTGGTGGTGGATGAGCGGCAGCGAAGCGTCGTACTGCTGATGCCTTTTTCCTGGTTGACCCTCCTAAGTTTTACACACTTCGCGATAGGGCCGAAAAGTACATTCCGAAGGAGCTGACAGGTAAATCCGCCAACGTCTCGTCCATCTGTGCAATAGCTGGCGTGCAACTGAATTCAGTCACAGTGGCGTTGCTTTTGCAACTCTCCTGACCGAAAGAGGGATGTGAGGAAGATATACTGCAGAGGAAGAAAGTAAACACATCGCAAGCCGTTGGTATATTATCATCCGGCGAAACGATGCAAAGAGAGTTTAGTGCCTTGTCGCTAATGGACTGAAAGTCAGTGTGCCAGATGTTCGAACTTTAGATGCTGTGTGGATCGTAGTCTCTAATGACAGTACAGTTGAAAGACAAACAGATATGGTCGCTGGTTTCCAAAGGGAGACCATGCACAAGGTCTCCTACAAAGTTACCCGACTTTGCGAATATCAGGTCCAAGAGAGAAGGAGCTTGACCCTCCATGAACGTGGTGGGTCGATCGACAAACGGATGTAAGGGCACTTCCAGTGTCAAGTCGACAAGCTCAGCAACCAATCCTCCTACCGTTACCTCATACGAGAGGTTATGCCAACTTGCTTCAGGGACGTTGTGGTTCTTCATCCCCAGGCATCTGCTCGCCGAGTGAGAGCGGATGAAATCAATGAATCTTTTAGAAGTGCTATCAGCGCCCCGCACAGCAGCACAATTTCAAATTGCGTTAACGCAGTACGAACTTCAACTGAAAGAGCTTCAACAGTTCTATGAGCTGAGTTGAAACAGTGTTTTGATAGGTTTTAGCCACATTTGATGTACAGAGCAAGCCCAGCTTCATGATTGTGAGATGGGCGGTCATATCTCGGTAGTGCGTAGCCCGGAACGTACAGTTCACTGTCTATGACGTCGGAAGACAACTAAGTTTCACTGAACGCGAGTACATCAGAATAAGAGCTGTCTAATAGGGCGCCAACTTCACACATCTTGTTTGGCAGGTTACACGTCTTACTGAGAACTAGGTAAAAACGTTTGGTATAGAGAGCCCTAGGTTGTGTGCTACCAGAATGGGCTCTAGCAGAGCGGAAATGGACCGCCGGCATAGCACTCGAAAACCCATCACGCAGACATTTTTAGCCAGTCTCACAGCGCGCTTTAAGATTTTTGATGGCTGTCTTTAGCTCCGTTCGGTCCGCTAAATGTAGGGCCAATCGTACACTCACGCTTTATCAGTTAGTTAAATGGCGAAATATAAAAGGGTTTCGCGCTCCTCCGGTACAGAGAGTATGACGAGCAATAAACAGGAGTTACTGTTTGTGCTATCATCCGATATGTTCCTATGGCTAGTTAGTTTC